CCCCCCCAAGCGTCCCGTGGCTCATTCGGGACTTATTTGACCGTGTACATATATTGGAGGTTTCTACTCTTCATTTGGCCACATTTGAATACTTGTGGCATCATGCGCGAAATACACGTTTTTAAAACGAGGGAGAGCGGGGTCCAAATCAACTTTTACAATATCAACTTAGATAAAATGAGAAGTGATTATTTTTTTTTAAAGGTAGGAAGAGGAGGTAGCATGTGCTGAAGTTTTCCATGCGACTCTTATTTCAGAAAATTTGTTTCGGGTTTGTCTGTTACCATTTCCAATGTTTGTTTTAACAACATTCAAACATGGGTCCTTCTAATCGTACTTCCACCTGCAATAGAACCCTGCCAAGTAGAAAGGCACATCTGAAAACTTCCAGAACAACCCTAGTTTTTTTTAGAGTATGCACGCAGTGCTGGGAAATCGAAACAGCGTAGCCAGCACCGTAGCCAGAGTAATATTAAATGAGCTAGCGGTCAACCTTTTTTGTATTTCGCCTGCTATGCACTGTAGATACGATGTATAACTGTAAGAGGAGGAAGTAAAACAGAAACATTCTTTAAACAAAGAAACTTTCCCTCAAAAAGATGCCTTTTCTCTTTTGTCAGCAGAGGCGAAGGGTCTATACAATAAAATAATCACTGCTTCCTTTCCGTAATTTGGGAACATCGTCGTCGTCAAATACACTCACAGGCGTTGGCCTTATACATTTTAATGATTTAAATTTGAGCCGCGTGCACAAAACCCAATCGTGCTTCATTGCAACATAATAAATGCCCTGTTCACCCCTTTCAGGCCACATTCATTATACGTGTCACAAGCACTGATTATGTTAGTTAACATTTGGATTGGTGGAGTCTACCTGGAAAAGTTGAGGTGGCTAACTTCTAAAAATCTCATGGCTGCTGTGAGTGCCTGCTTTTTAAAAGCGACTTTTTATCGTTCTATAATCAGGTCATGACTCTTGGCCACGAAAAGCTACACAAAGACCGCCAAATTTGAAATAAAATTGCTCATACATACTTTATTATATTGGCTTCTCTGCTTCTTTGTCTTCTATTTGTGTATTCACATTTGTAGTTTTTTCACTGTTAAAAAATCTTGAGACCGTTATTCCCTACGTGCGTTTAAAAGTTATAGATTTCTAATTCCGTTTGGCCCCAAGTGAGAATAAAATTATGAAGTGAGATGTTTTCTGGATTATTTTGGCGAGTGAACGTGAAATATGAATTGAGGATTTATTTTCACTTACAACTCAGTGATGGCGCCTCGAATTAGACGTTTTGTTATTAATGTCCCGATTACGGGAAACTTTTTCCTGTGTGGTCTCATTTCTACCCGATTCTTTATCTCACTTTAATTTCGCTTTCAAACGAGTCACCCTGATTGTCCGTTTTACTTTTCAGAGGGGCTATCAATATCGGAGTCTGTGGAGAAGGTGACAGGCAGGTGTGTGTTAACGCTAGCCCCTCCCACCGATCCAGTTGCTCCTCCCAGGAAAAAGAGACATGCCAGGGCGCATGCACAGAGCACAGACTACGATTTTCTTCCGGTTGACTCTCCTTACGACAACGCGATTTCAGCATGCCCTGGCGTTGGATCTGTGTCCGAGGAGAATGCAGACGATGGCTCTCTTAAGAAGGGGTGCAGCAACAGTAGAAGCAACTGCAGCAGCAGCAGCAGTAGCAGCAGCAGCAGCAGCAGCAGCAGCAGCAGTAGCAGCTGCAGCAGCAGCAGCAGTAGCAGCTGCAGCAGCAAAAAAAGCAACAGTGGCACCAATGACAGTGCTGATCTTTACACTCACAATAGCTACAACAATGACTGCGAACGGGAGGCAGTAGCAAAGCCTGGTCATTACCTTGATGTTGGCTATGACGAAGACGCCAGCTACAGCACTATTGACGAAATGCAAGAAGCGTTTGCGTAGTATCGTCGCGCATACATAGAGAATATCATAGAGGGGGACTTTGCTTTAAAAAAATGCTTGATCTTTTGGTCGTTTGCTTGGGTTGCTTTTCATGTTCACGTATACCAATCACATCGATCTACGTGAGTTTATGATGAATGTCTGACGTGTGTACTTGACATAAACAGTGTACATGATTACAAATGACACCTTAATTTGACACCTTACTCGTACATTGCAAATAAATTTGAAACCTATGACTTCCTCTCTAACTATGGTCACCTCTGACGCGTATCAGTCTCTCCCAACACTGCTGCCAATTTGGTATCATTTGTAATGTTAGAGTCTTTTTGCGGAGGAAAACAACAGAGCTTCAAAAGGAAGGAAAAGAAGTAGAAGAAATCCGGATTTCTTCCAACATCCTGCAGGTCAAAAGTTTATTCATCATGGTATTTCACTTTATGTCTGGGGTGTTGGAAAGGTTTCCACGTAATGCTTCGCTTTCATGATAAGCCAAGCCGAAGAGGACAACCCTGACAATACAAATCTTGTTTCGTCTGCTAATCCATGAATAAATAATTGAAATGAGTGGACATAATGATCAGTTTTTAGATTCAATTGAAACAATGTTCTCAATAATTCACGGACTTCATTTTCTTTAAAAAGTTCATTTAGATTTCCCTTGCCAGTAAATACTTACATTACCGTTTATGAAAATATTAAATATTAATATTGCAAGTTAATTTTTTTTTTGCACGATTTAAAATTTTGGTGAGAGATTGGAGGTGATTTGTTTCAGATTCTACATCTCAAACAACAATTGTCACAATAAAATTTGAGTAATTTACATCCCAACTGTTTTGTGGGGGATTTTTTTTCAGGCTAAAGTAATCTTGAAACACAGTTTATAGCTGTTTAAGATATAGTGTGCAGCCTCACCATTACACCACAGGCATTACAAAAGTACACATTTACCAAACAACTAACGAAACAAACATTTCAGACCACAGCGTAGTTTTCTGAATTTGAGGGAAGGGGGGGGGGGGGGGATTGTTTGTTCGTTTGTCTGTTTCGTCTGTTATTTTGGTTTCTTTTTTGTTATTGTTTCTGGTTTGGATTTTCTATGAAAAAAAGGGGGGGGGGGGTATATTCTTAAGAGAGTACAGCTTTACATGGCTTGTGTAATTGCAAAAGTAAGGTACCAGTATTCAAGTAATATACACGTACTTGTCCTTGCTGCCACCGAGCTTTCGGCACGACAACCTAATGCTTCGGGCTTAGATCATCATTGGCTTTATTTTGACCTTCACTACATGTGCGACAAATTGACGACAGTCTTTCTGTCACAGCGTCTTTAGAATATATCTAATAAGTATACATAAACATACAATGTATTTTACCAATTTCACTTTTCTGACTTTCTTGGGAAATCCATTTTACGCTGGGTGTATAAACACATAAATACATTGATACATAAATCATGGTCGAAAAAAGCACACCGCAAACATAGACAACCCACACACCATTGCTGGTCGCCACTGCCACTGTACAGCACCCTGTTTTGGAGCTAGGGTTATCGTGTTTTGCCGAAGGACACACCCATGGGACCATCCCCACCCAAACGGCGTTTAAGCGATACACACTTGATGTTCTGGGGAAAAAAAATTGAAACGGTATGGGATTAATGCCCATATCAACACTGTTAGGTTATGTAAGAGGTTGGGCCAAGGACCTTATTAGAATAAAAAGACCCCCACTTCTCTCTGTCTCTCTGTCTCTCTGTCTCTCTGTCTCTCTGTCTCTCTCTGTCTCTCTCTGTCTCTCTCTCTCTGTCTCTCTCTCTCTCTCTCTCTCTCTCTCTCTCTCTCTCTCTCTCTCTCTCTTCGCGGACTGCGTAGAGCGTGCCCTATTGATCGGGGAAAGTGGCCGGAAACTATGGTCAAAATGCACGAACTGCGGTCTTTTCTTTACAGAACAAATATGAAAACCTTAATATCTAATAAACTGTAACTAAACGTCAAACTTCACCTTTTTTTTTCATTTTCAGCGCCTCAAAATCCGTTTAGAACGTGTTGTTTGAGCCCTAAGGCAGAAACATTTTGAGACTATGTAGACCAGTGTTACAGGGGACTCTAGCTCATATCCCAGACGGCATCCCTTCATGTGATAATGAATGGTATCGTTGAACACTTTTTCAACTGAGAAGTTACTTGCACGCGGCACTGTTTGACCATAGTTCCACTGCAAGAGATGGTTTCTATTAGGTAAAGGTTGCTCCCCACAGTGTAGCCTTCATTCTATTTTTTATAATCTCCTTGGATGGTACCACTGAGTGTAACGTCCACCTCTGAAAGGACTGAGCCATATAAGAAATGCATATAACGTGCCTGTCTCAATAACATAACGTCGACAAATTGCTGTGTATAAAGAAAAAGAGACAGTATCACGTGAGAATACATCAAATTGTTGTCTAGATCTATACTCAAAAATAAAGTATCAACACTTGATATTTATACATTGAACATGTCTTGTTGGTGGGAAAGCATTGAATAAAAATTAGGCATTGTGTGCTAGATTTTGCGAAAACTAACGTCTCGTGTGCTCCTTGCTTTACCTAACCGAAGAAATTATTCAATTACAAATTATGGTTCTGGGTGGTTGGTGGGTGCACTGGTGTGGTTTGCTCCTTTTTTCCAATCAAACATCTCTATCATCCTTATTTTTTCTTCTTTTTCGTGTTTGTTACTCGCTTGTAGTAGCACCTATAATCTTCGGCACTTATATGACTTTATTGTGTTGCAAGTGCCGTTCAACTCTTACTAAAACTCGTTGTAAAATAAACGGAACATGCTGTACTGTAAGCTCTGTAGAGTATCGGTATGTGCTACGCTATTATGAATGCATTAAGTAGGTCGTTGGCTATCTATATTACCTGTGCATCTCGAACCATGTCTAGTCAACTTCCATGAGACTATGATGCTAGAAAAAGAACGATAAAGATATGTCACTGGAAAAGAGGGAAGAAATAACTGATGAATTGGCGGGTAGTCTATGTGTTTTAAAAACGATCTCAATAGTTCACTATAAATTACAATGTATGCAGTGGCGTCAGGTGGGTTGTAAAGAGGGTGGGGCTTGCCGTGACCAAATCTTGAGATCACTCAGTTTATAAGGTTGCATAATGACTGAAAATACAGTGGATCTTTAAAAAATCAAAAGTATGGGGCATTAGACTGATAGTCCTGAGGTTAGCTATATGGAGTAGGAATATTATTGAAAGAAATGTTTGAGAGATAGATAAGGAGATAGTGGCCAGGGGGCGAAAGAAACATCCTGCTGAAAATGCAATTGAAACCGTTTAACATCGCAATACGCTAGACATATGCTGCAACCTCTACATACTAAGGTGAAAAGATTGGAGAATATTATGAAAAAATAGGTAAGATCGAGAAATAGATAAGATCCTGAAAAAAGTAAAATTGAATGAAATACTTGTCATAATGGTAAACCAGAATGCTAAAGTGGCAAAAAGACAATACCAAGACACCAATAGCAACTACAGATTACAAGAACGAAACGAAACGAAAGAGGTGAGAGACTCCTTAAATTTTGTGAGGAGAAGCGTCTAATGATGGCAAACACTTCTTACAACAACCAGCATGAAGACTATATTCATGGGAAAAACCTCGGAGATGTTGACAGACACCAATTGGATTACACCATAGAAAAATTTTCAGAATTTCTGACCACAAACTCCTCAGTGCAAAAGTTACTTTAAAACTGAAAACTTTAAAGAAGAAGGCTGATAAGAAGACAACAAACACACAAACACACTGTACTGGGGGGGGGGGGGGGGGGAGGGATTAAATGGTAAAACTTCAGAGACAGCATCAAATGTGGATTAGAAAACTGCCAATAAAAGAGAGGGGCCCCACCCCCCCCCCCCCCCCCCCACACACACACACCAAAAAAACAAACAAAAAACAAAAAAACAAAACAAAACAAAACAAAAAAACTATTGATCACTGAGGAAATCTTAGAACTGATGACATAGAGGAAGAGACTTAAACAAATTAATCCAACTAAAATTCCAAGAGGCCAAGGAAGCTTGGGCTGATAGAAAATGTTATAAAATAAACACAGGAAATAGGTCAAACAACTCGAAAGAGATGCACGACAATATTGAGGAACTCATCGAAAGAAAGCACAACAAGAGATCGACAGGAGGTGTGAAGACAAAGAAGGCAAAAATGATGCTAAAGAAAAAAAGAAGTCCTACAAAGATGGGCAGAATATGACGGTGAATTATTTGAAGATAAAAGACCACCCCTACCACAAGAAAGCAACAACAGTGGTCCCAACATTCTTAGGTCAGGGGTACAGCTTGCAGTTAAAAGTACCCCAGAAGAAAAAGCTCCCGGTGAAGATGGCATAAACGCAGAAATGCTGAATCAATTGAATCAATTTGGCATTGACACCATGACAGAACTTTTCAATGAAATCTATGTCTCAGGACATATTCCAGAAGAATTACTCCAATGGGTTTATATTATCCACCAATACGAGCTCATGACCTTGCACTGTTCTCTCACACACATGCTCAGATGCAAGAAAAGACCAAGGAACTCAACAGCCTATCAAGGAGTGTTGGCCTACGTATACACCCGGGCAGGTTGAAAGTAGTGAAGCTAGGAAAAGTGTTAAGCCCTGCTGTGACAGTGGAAGACACTCCCCTAGAAGAAGTGGACTCCTTTACCTACCTTGGAAGTGTCATCGATGGTAAAGGTGGAACTAATGCAGATGTAAAAGCAAGAACCGCCAAGGCAAGGTCAGCATTCAAGCAATTATCAAAAGTCTGGAAAGCAAGCAGCACCTCACTGTGCACCAAGATTCGACTCTTTAATTTCAATGTCAAGTCTGTGCTCCTCTACGGCTGAGAAACTTGAAAGACAACAAAGACAGTGCTGAATTAAGTCCAGACTTTCATTAACAGATGTATGAGGAGTATCCTAAGAATTAAG